TAAAAATCAAACAAGTACTGCCATGAAAAGAAAAGAACAAAAAGCATCACACACAATAATAGGCCATCCATGCAACAAGTTTACGATACCATGCAATGCCGGAAAGTCCATTAGTTTAAGTTCATTTTTTTATAAGATTTGAAGGCCTCATTAAAAACCTCCTTCATGATTAATGGAGCTTGTATAGAAACTCCTTAATCAGCGGAAGGAGAAAAAGAATGACTTATATTTCATTAGAAAATAATAATTACAACCATGGAAAATTAATCCAAATAACCCTTACAACAATAAGTAAACCCCAACCTAACAGGAAGCAAAAACCAATCTGAAAATACCAACATAAAAATCATCCTAAACCAGCCTTTGCTAAAGCATCAGCATCCATGTTAGATGTCCTTGCAACCCATCTAACAACCCCCCAAAATTCTAAGACTGTCAACTATGTTTGTAACAATAAAACCATATACAACTGGACATGAATCAACATCATTGATCCAGTCTATTACAACCCTGCTATCACTCTCAACAATCAACCTATCTTTGAACCTCCCTTGAAAAGAGGCAAAGAAAGAAATGCCCTTTTGAATAGCTTTAAGTTCCTTCAAAGTCAGAGGTCCCGAACCAGCAAGCTCCTGAAAAGAACCTAGGATTACACCAGAATGATCCCTCAAAAGACCTCCAAGACCTGATTTCTTCCAATCACTGCTAATGGCTGCATCCACATTCAATTTAATGAAACCCATGGGGGGAGGTGACCAAGGGATTGTAGAAGACTTTACAAAATTATAGGTCGAATAAGAATCCCCTAAAGAAGGATCAGAAATCAATGAGTCCTTAGGGATAGAAATATCCTTATGCTTAGCTAGGAACCAAGAAGCAAGCCTAACTCTTGTTAAGAAGAACAACTCTGATCAAGCTTCCCCCCTTCAAAAACAATAGAATTTCTGGTTTTCCAAATGGTCCAAATAACAGCCCCAGGAATGAAAGTCCAAATCGCATAATTAGATTTCAACTAGTCTCATGCTAGAAGAAAGATTTTTGCATCTGCAGAAAAAACAGAACTGAACCTCCATAATTTTAGAAATTTGTTCCATATAGACCACGACACCGAACAATTAAAGAATAAATGTGAGGAAGTTTCTTCAACCATTCTGCAAAGAGGGCATAGAACATCCTCAATACCTTGAACACCTCTTTTAACCAATTCTGATTTAACAGCTAATTTATGGAGCACAACTTGCCACACTAAAGTTTCAGCTCTAGGGGGAATCAATCCTCTCCAAACGATATTATTCCAAAAATGAGCAGCTTCTGAACCTGATGCACATCTCTTGACACAAGAACTTACTGTAAAAACACCATCCCCACTGCCTTTTCAAATCAACCCATCACTAGAATCATTAGACAGAGAAAAAGAAGAAATTATGCTCACCAGATTACACCATTGTTCAAGCTCCCAATCATTTAAGTTTCTTCTTACTTGGACATCCCAAATCCAACCCGATGAGAGAAATTCCCCAAACTCACAAAGCTTACCATATTTATTAGTAGAAAGGCAAAACAGTGTAGGGAACAAAATCTGGAACGAATAATCAGCAACCCAACTATCCTGCCAAAATCTAAGATTCTTACCATTTCCAACATGAAAGCTGCACAAACTACGAAACTTAGAGCCAAAGGAGTCTTGCTTGTAATAGTCATTAACCACTGTTCTCCATAACCAGGAAGATTTAGGTGGAGCCTTGCTATCAAACAATAACCTTGTTGAATCAATGTTGTATTTACTGCATATAAATTCCCTCCACACAACACTTCTCTCATTTGCGAACCTCCAAGACCATTTAACCCAGTGTATCTTCTTGATACCAATTCTCCCTCCCCATAAAAAATTAGACATTATTGAATTAAGAGACTTTAGGATTGAAGCTGGAATCTTGAATATAGACAAATAATACGTTGGCAGTGAGGATAGAACCGATTTGATTAAAATCAGTCTGCCTGCTAATGACAGAGTAGCAGCCTTCCAACCGGCTAATGTACAATGAATAGCAAAGAGAAAGCAAACCATGCGAAGATATCAACAAAAGAAAAGTGAGATTAATGCTTTTTCTTTTGGACCCAAAAGAGGAATAAGATAATAGGTGTCTTAACCCCACTCAACAATATGGCAAGTGTGTGAATGTAAAATTTAATTCTAGTATTCTAACTAATGAGATCACTAAACCAAATTAAGTTGTCAAATCATTAAGAGGTCAATGATAAATGTTTATTCTCTTTTTATACTATAGAAGTTTATTATCAAGGTATCTTTCTAATTTAGTTTATTTTATATATAACATAAAAAATTAAAAGAATTTAATATCTAATCCAGCTAAATTAACTCATTATTGGTATAATTCTTATTTTTGTATATATTTTAGGATAAACAAATCGACCTGGAATAAGTTTTTACTGGATATTCAATCATAAAAGAAATCTACCAAAATAACAAACAAATTTCATATATGGGATCTCGATTATTAATTAACGTGCACCAAATATAAAACGTAGGACAGCAGTAATCAACAATCCTAGACTAAAATGAATAAAGTTAAAGAACGCACCTGGAGCAATGTATCCATATGAGCCAGCCGACAATGAAAGACATGGACTCATCAGTCATCACTCTGGATCAACTTGGCAACTCTAAAATTTGTCACTCTGGCCTCCATCTCACTGTCCAATAAAATATTACTTGGCTTGAGATCGCGGTGGACGATCACCGGATCACAGTCATGGTGAAGATATCAAATGCCTTGTGCAACGCCAAGGGTAATTTTGTACCTTATCACCCAATCGGCCACCAAGTTCTCCCCTTTGTTCTTGCCATGCAATAAGATGTCCAAGTTGCCGTTGGGCATGTATTCATGAAGCAGAGCATCGTACACTCCCCGTTGCTGCAACAACCTAACAATCTATGTTAGGGTGCCTGACGTTCTCCAGCACGTCAACCTCTGCCAACACACCTTTCCGCGTTAGATCTCTTTATTCTTACCACAACTTCACCGCTATGATTTCTCCGCGTGGCATCTCCGCTTTGCATATTGTTCTCGTGGATCTATCCCTATGATCTTATCTGTCATCGACAGACACTAGTACATCATCAGCAGTGAAATTGAAACGCTAGAAGGTGATCAATTTACATGGTCTGATCTCACGATCGTCACTGAACCTGCAATTGTAATTCACATGGAAACATCGGGTACCAACTACGAGAACAAACAAACCAATCCCAAAAACGGCTGCCATAATCTAAATAGTAACTCGTCATTTTCTTTGGCTGCTGCTGCTAGTTACGAACTTCCATGTCACCTATGGCCATCGCCTCAACTAGGCACAGTCTCGCTAAAATTCTGCCGTAAAGGCTGTTGTTACCGCAAAACAATGAAGGGTGTAAGTTAGGAAATATCAGACCAGGCGATGGGATTGGGCCGGTTAGCAAGTTATAGGATTCTTCGAATTTTTTCAAAATGATACAGTTTTTGAAGTTTGAAGGGGCATTTCCGGTGGGCAAATTATGTGAAAGATCAACAACAGTTATTGAAGGAAGCGTCAATAATTCCATGGAATTATTCCAATAAACAAATTTCGGCTTAAATTCGAAGACAAGCTTTTCACAATGATCAATGTACCAGGGGATGCTTCCGTTTAGAGAACTACCTTGGAGCTCGATTTGTTAGCCGTTTTTACAACCGATGAAATTAGAGATTTCCCCAGTTAGCTTAGCTGAACTAGCTGAGAATATCTGCAAACTTGGTGCACCCCAAATGTTGCTCGACAACGCTGCATTGAAAGAGTTCTCGAAGGTTTTAAGAAACTGTAACATCAGCGCATAGCAAAAATCCTTCTAAATCTCGCTGGTAAAGTCGTTCTTACTCACCTCCACAAACGTGAGGTTTTTCAACAGTCCGAAACAGTAAGATATGGTGCCGTTGAGAAGATTGTTTTGGATTCGGAATCTTGAAAGTGAAGTGCAGTTTACAAAGCTTCCAGGTAGCTCATGCTTGAACATGTTAAACAGTATGAGTTTGAATAGCTTGTTCCCATAGCAAAGATTTGGGAACTCTACTAGTATGGTGCCTGTAAAGCATTGTAGCCAATCTCTATCCGTTCAAGCTGAGTCAAGCATCCGAGTTGACACGGCAAAGTGCCTTCCAGTACATTTCCAGCCAGGTCAAGCAACATCAACCTGGTAAACCTTCCAGAAATAGCTGCTATTTCACCTTCAAAGTAACTTCCCCCAAGATTGAGCTGCTCCAAGAACCGCTCAAAATCGTTGCTATATCCATTGAAGATTCTCAAGAACCTAAGCTTGGAAACCCAAGCGGAACGTTGAATTGAAATAGTTATGGCTGATATCAAGAGTTCTAAATTGCTGGAGTTAAAAATGGCTCATTGGAGAGGACAATCAAAGTAATTCCCACTCAAATTCAAGTTCACCTAACTCCTCAAATATCTGATTTTCGGTGGAATAAATGAGAGAGATCCAGAGACGTGACTTGAGCTGTTTTAAGATTGCCCTTGACACCAGACCATGAACACCAAACAGGGTGTTCAAAACCAGGCTTGGAAAATGCAGGAGTAGGGTCCCAGTCTCTGAAATTGAAAACATGGTTTTTGAGGGAAGATTTCAACGACAAAAGAGAAATCAAAGGGGCAGGCAGTAAAGAAGCAGATAACACTACCAAAGATGGTCAACAGAAAAATGTCATCAGAGAAAGAAGAAACGGATGTTTCATCATGGTTATGTGAAAAAACTGGCTGGTTTATAGAAACTTGGTCTAATCTTTCTCGAAAGGCTTTACAAGTACGCATTTCCCTTAAAATTCTATGCTCTTTCTCCAGATACAGCATCCTCAAATCATCAATCGATTCTGAATATCTGCAGAAATTCAAAAGTTAACATGGAATCCAACTGCAAACAGATATTAGGGTATTTTCAAAGTGAAACATACAAAATTAACCACTCCATATCGATTTCCCTCATGCATAAGTCTCTGATTCAGACTCTTCAATTTGGCCTCTTGTTGCTCGATTGTACTTCCATCCAAGTCCTCTAAGCGTCAAATTCGCTCTCAGAAAAAATGACAGAAGCCTTTCTATAGCTCTCCTGCAATGTTGCAAAATATAACATGGGCTACAATTGGTTAGTATATCTAGAAAGACATAAATATCAACCATACGATTCTTTTAATTCTGCCTCTGCCTCATTGATTTGAGGAAGAACCTTTTCTTTTATAACATATTCGTAGTGGACCCTATCCTGAAACAGAAACTTCAATTTCTAAATTCAAGTTTCCACACGATAGTTGCAGAAGTAAATGAATAAAAAGTTTCTCCTATTCTGCATTATTTATCTCTCTCTCTCTCTCTCTGTTAGTTTCTCCTATGCTTTCTCTTTCTCTCTTTATTCTGCATTATTTATCTCTTTCTCTCTCTCTATTAGTTTCTCCTATGCTTTCTGAAAAGCTTCAACCTCCTCCTTTGTTGATTCTATGATACACAGAGAGTAAATTGAATCCAAGTAAAGCCACGTGAAAATTTTAACTAAACATCAACTATAGTTTACTAAAATAATACCCCCAAAATCTTCAAATGATAAATCAAGAGTTTTCGTTTTTTCTTCTGCTGCATTAAACCTCTCTTTAAGCGTTTCTAGCAACGCCTCCTTCTTGATCAACATTTTAGCATCCTAAAGACGATTCAAGGATGAAGATATCATTAGAAAAGGATTTTAACTTACTGGAATACAAGTATAAAAGCAAGGTTTGTAAGCCCAGTCAGTCATGGAACAAACTAAAATTTCTTGAAGTTCATTAGTAGTTGACTCGGGCAACACACTAGCATCAACAACATGTGACTTCTGCACATCCTCCAGTTTCATTCTCTTAACCATGAAATCATGCTCCACATCCAAGCGCCTTTTCTGCATAACACAAGTGAAGCATTGATCATAGGGCATACTGGCATATATTAACCCAAAAATGTCATAATAAAACTGGAATTCAACATTAATCAATTATGAAAATGTCAGACTTTTCTAACATCTTTAACTTATAGATGATTTGGGAGTAAAAAGTTTCCAAAAAGATAGCATATTCATTTGGATTAAACAATAGCCATGAAGCCACATGTAGATAATTTTCTATAGTGATGACATTGAAAGCCAGGAAAACAAATTCTAAAGAGTATATGAGACGGGAAATTTAAAAACCTGAAAGTCCCCTTGTATCACGAACGACTTTTAACCTGTTAAACAAATGGAATCAACAAACCCATTGTAAAATGCTGAGTAGACACATCTTAGGACTTTAAAAGGGCATCGTGACCAGGCAAAATGCATAAGTAGTGAATTGTAAGTACGCCCAAAAGAACAAGTAGAATTTAGATAGGTTACCTTCACTGAAAGGGTCTTTTCATCATAATTAACATTAATGTGTCTGTTGACACCTTTCTTCCCCAAATGGCCATTAAATCTAATTGTACCCAACAAGGAATAATAAAATAAATAATCATAATGAAAGAAAATTAATAATTACCATAAACATGATACATATTGCCAAGTCAACTTCTGTCTTAGTGCTGCATTACGTTGAAATTTTTTCCTACGCAAATAAAGAGCATTTTGGCAAGCCTGCAATATAACAACCAAAGCAGAAGAAGGAAAAAGCTAAGAAACTTCTAGCAACCTTAAAAAAGTCTTGAGGTAAGGCACCAATAATTTCTTTCAGAATTCATAATTAGGAGAAATGACATTATAATAAAACAACTATCAAATGCCATATAACCTACAAAACAGTTAGAAAAATATTCACATCATAATCCATAATCCCAAATATTAGAAAAGATTAGTTGAGATAACAAAATAAAGAACTCTATTAAGGTCTTTCTTGACCTTAATCTGTTTCACGGTTATTCTCAAAACACAGTTGGAACAAGATTAACCACCTCATTGTATAAAAGAGGCCAAATGTCCAATTCAGGGCAAATTGAACAACAATGGAACTTACATCAAATCTTTCTCGAAAGGCTTTTTAAATATGCAATTTCCTAAAATTTCTATGCTCTTTCTCCAGATACAACATCCTAAGATCATCAATTGATTCTTTGAATATCTGCACAAAATCAAAAGTTAAGATGAAATCCAACTGCAAACAATTAGGGTATTTTCAAAGGGAAACATAAAAAATTAACAACCCCATACTGATTGCCTTCATGCATAAGTCTCTTTTTTTTGTACTTCCATCCAAGTCTTCTAAGAGTCAATTTCACACTCAGGAAGAAGTCTTTCTGTAACTCTCCTGCAATGTTGCAAAATATAACATGGGCTAGAATTGGATAGTATATCTAGAAAGGCACAAATATCAACCTTACGATTCTTTTCTAGTTCCACATATTCTGCCTCTGCCTCCTTAATTTGAGGAAGAACCTTTTCTTTCATAACATTTTCATACTGGACCCCATTCTGAAACAGAAACTTCAATTTCTGAATTCAATTTCCACACAATAGTTGCAGAAGTATAACATAGGCTACAATTTGTTAGTATATCTAGAAAGGCATAAATATCAACCTTACGATTCTTTTCTAGTTCCACATATTTTGCCTCTGCCTCCTTAATTTTTTTTGATAAAAATGAGAGACCTCATTAGAAAAACTCTTCATAACCATCAAGCTGCGAAAATAGCTTAACGAACATTGGAAGGAGGAAAAGAGTAACTCAAAATTTTATTTCTAAAATTCCAAGTACATCTATAGTTCATTACAACCATACACAACCAAAATACAACCTCAAAAATAACCCACTCTAAACTGCCAACTTATCTAATACCTTCTCCCTAACTAGAACTAGTTTTCCACCTTATTACAACGCACACTTCCTCTATATACCAAAACAGTACAAAAAACTACTTATGATTACCCAATACTCGACTTTCTAAGAATTTGAGGAAGAACCTTTTCTTTCATAACATTTTCGTACTTGATCCTATTCTAAAACATAAACTTCAATTTATGAATTAAAGTTTCCACAAGATAGTTGCAGAAGTAAATGAATAAAAAGTTAAAGGAGCAGAAAGTAGACTGCTTCTGCATTATTTCTCTATCTCTGTTAGACAGTTAGTTCCTCCTATGCTTTATGAAAAGCTTCAACCTCCCCCTTTCTTGATTCTATGATATGCATGGGGGGGTTAAATTGAATGCAAGTAAAGCTACATGCAAAATTGAACTAAACATTAAATATAGTTTACTAAAATAATACCCCCAAAATCTTCGAATGATAAATTAAAAGTTTCGGTTGTTTCTTCTGCTGCATTAGACCTCTCTTTAAGTGTTTCTAACAACGCCTCCGTCTTGATCAACATTTTAGCATCCTAAAGACGATTAGATTATGAAGATATCATTAGAAAAGGATTTTAACTAACACAAATATAAGTATAAAAGCAAGGTTTTCAGTCAGGGAACAAACTGAAATTTCTTAAAGAAGTTCATTAGTAGTTAACTCAGGCAACACACTAGCATCAACAGCATGCAACTTCTGCACATCCCCCAGTTTCATTCTCTTAACAATGAAATCACGCACCACATCCAAGCGCCATTTATGCATAAAACAAGTGAAGCATTGATCATAGGACATACGGGCATATACGAACCCAAAAAGAGATACAACAAGGAGAATGATTAAAAGATAAGCTTAGGGAAGATGAAGGAATTCTTGCTATCGGTAATTTTTACACCCATGAGCCTATTCAAGGAATTAAGGCACACAGAGTCAGTGACAATGGCACAATTTTACTTTTAAAGATAGGCATTATGTGCAAGGAAACACACTTTTTAGACTAGTATTAAACTTGAAAAAGAATTTTAAACAGAAGGAAAAAAATTACCACATCTACCAAAACATTGAAAACAATAGGATTATCAGAATGTAAAAGAGATTGAGCAGCTGGGTGGTTCATCTGGAGGAGTGAATGGTCTGGTATAATCAACCTACAAAGAAAGCAGAACCATATATCAAGGAAATTGTACTGAAACATTAGTACTATGAAAAGAGGCTTTTAAGAAAATTAGAATTCTCATCCTTTCACCTTGGTCTCAAAAACCTATGTATAATAATCGGAAAGTAATTATATCTTGCCTCCTTTGCACATTTTCTAAGAGCAGTAGCATCCTGAGAATTTGTCACAATGAATGCATTTAGCAACTTCCCAATATCTTGTTCGACAGCAAGAGCCCATGTATCACCATTGAGTAATGCCTGCAGCACAATAACCACAAAGCTAAATACAGTTGCTAGAAGGTCGTCAAGAATTACTTAATATGGAAACAATGATACCTATTATTGTACCGATAGCACAAACTAAAAATGGAGAAACTTTTATTGGAAAAAGCCTCTAGAATCAAAAGAGATCTATATTCAGACTAAACACAATTTTTAAGTGATTTTTCCAAAGAAAAAAAGAAGCTTCAATACAACTCCTGCGAGCAAACGTTCTTTCACTATAAAATTCCCAAAATTGCCTCTACCATTAGCAGAGAAATCTAGTGAAAGGAAAATCTAAAAAGCATTCAGCATTCGTAGCCAATACCAAATAAACAAGCAATCTTATATTAACAAATAAAGATTTAGTTCCTAGGCATAAGAAGTGTGCTCAAAATTTTCTGCAGCAATTCTCCATCACTCACCACATGAGCCCCAATTGGATCAATAGGAGGCATAGTAAATGCACGGTGATGCCTTTCAATTTCACATCGAAGATGTAGCACTCCATCCCCACCAAAAACTGTAACATGTCCAAGAAGAGAAAATCAAGTTCAAAGGTGACCTTAAACAATTTAGGGGAATAAAAAGGCACATCATCCTCGTTTCTTTCATGTAAAACAAATAAATAAATAACAAGAATTGGCCAGACCCTGTTGGCTTGATTTAGATGAAGCTCACAAATTTGGTGCTCAATCTCACTCTGCTTATGAGATATAAAACCTGAAATTACAAGAACTTACTCTGTAAAGAAAAACAGCAACAAAGTCGATTAACATATGTCAAAACTACTATCCATAAAATTCGAAATAGTATATGGGACGGGAATTTTTTTTTTTGATAGGAAATAGTGGCCTCATTTGAAACCCCCTTCATGATTAATGGAAATCGGGAAGAGTTCCTTAATCATCGAAAGGAGTAAATGAGTGCCTTGAATTTCATAGATAAAAGACTTAGAACATAGGAATACAAAACCCTGAACTCCCTCAAGGAGATCGGCAAACTAAGCAACAGCCCTTTAAAACAACAAGCAAATCAACCAATACCAGCTTTAGCTAGAGTATCAGCCTCTAGATTAGCTGCCCTACTAACCCATCTAATAACACCTTGTATCACAAACAGTGTTGCTTGATGCATCTTAAGGCATTTTAACCTGTTAAACCAAATGAAATCAGGAAACCCATTGTAAAATGTTGAGTAGACAGCTTAGGACTTTAAAAGGGCATAGTGACAACTAACCAGGTGAAATGCATTAGTAGTGAATTGTAAGTACGCCCAAAAGAACTAGTAGAATTTAGATAGTTCATAGCTTACCTCAATTGAAAGAGTCTTTTCATCATAATTAATATTAATGTGTTCGTTGACACCTTTATTCCCCAAATGGTCATTAAATCTAATTGTACCCAACAAGAAATAATAAAATAAATAATCATAATGAAAGAAAATTAATAATTGCTAGAAGCATGCTACATATTGCCAAGTCAACTCGCGTCTTAGAAGCGCTGCATCATGTTGAAATTCTTTCCTACGCAAATCAACAGCATATTGGCAAGCCTGCAATATAGCAACCTTAAAAAAAGCCTTGAAAAAGCTTAAAAAAGCCTTCTAGCAACCTTAAAAAAGCCTTGAGGTAAGGCACCAATCTTTTCTTTCAGAATTCACAATTAGGAGAATGACATTACAATGAAACAACTATCAAATGCTATATAACCTACAAAACAGACAGAGAAAGGTTCACATCACAATTTAGAATTCCAAATAGTAGAAAAAGATTAGTTGAAATTACAAAAAAAAAATAACTCTATTAAGGCCTCTCTTGACTTTAATCTCTTTCACGGTTCTTTATCAAAACCCAGTTGAAACAGGTTAGCCCCCTCATTGTATAATTGAGACAAATTGTCAAATTCAGGGCAAATTGAACACCAGTGGAACTTACATCTAATCTTTCTCAAAAGGATTTTTAAATAAGCAATTTTCTTAAAATTCTACGATCTTTCTCCGGATACAACATTCTAAGATCATCAATCGATTCTGAAAATCTGCAGAAAATCAAAAGTTAACATGGAATCCAACTGCAAACAGATATTAGGGTATTTTCAAAGTGAAATATAGAAAATTAACCACCCCATACCGATTGCCCTCATGCATAAGTCTCTGATTCAGTCTCTTCAATTTGGCATCCGGTTTCTCGGTTGTACTTCCATCCAAGTCTTCTAAGCGTCAATTTCACTCTCATGACAAATGATAGAAGCCTTTCTGTAGCTCTACTGCAATGTTGCAAAATATAACATGGGCTACAATTGGTTACTATATCTAAGGAGGCATGAATATCAACCTTGATTTGAGAAAGACTTTCATAACATTTTCATAGTGGATCCCATTCTGAAACAGAAACTTCAATTTCTGAATTCAAGTTTCCACACAATAGTTGCAGAAGTAAATGAATAAAAAGTTAACGGAGCACGAAGTAGACTGCTTCTGCATTATTTCTCTCTTTCTCTACTCAATTAGTTCCTCTACTTTCTGGAAAGCTTCAACCTCCCCCTATGTTGATTCTATGATACGCATAGGGGGTAAATTGAATGCAAGTAAAGCCACATGCAAAATTGAACTAAACATTAAATATAGTTTACTAAAAAAATACCCCCAAAATCTTTGAATGATAAGAGTTCTGACCTTTTCTTCTGCAACATTAATCCTCTCTTTAAGCTTTTCTAGTATTGCCTCCTCCTTGATCAACATTTTATCATCCTAAAGACGATTCAATAGGAAGATATCATTAGAAAAGGTTTATAACTTCCTAGAATATAAGTATAAAAGCAAGGTTTGTAAGCCAAGTCAGTCATGGAACAAACTGAAATTTCTTGAAGAAGTTGATTAGTAACATCAACAACATTTGACTTCTGCACATCCTCTAGTTTCATTTTCTTAACCATGAAATCACGCTCCACATCCAAGAGCCTTTTTTGCATAACACAAGTGAAGCATGGATCATAGGGCATACCAGCAACCCAAAAAGAGATACAGACCACAAAGAGAATGATTAAAAGATATGCTTTGGGAAGATGAAGGGAATTCTTCTCATCGGTAATTATTACACCCACGAGCCTATGCAAGGAATTAAGACATACAGAGTCGGTGACAATGGCACAATTTCACTTTTAAAGATATACATTATGTACAAGAAAGCACACTTTTTAGACTATTATTAAACTTGAAAAAGAATTTTAAACAGAAGGAAAAAAGTGTTATGCATCCAACCTAAAACCAATCGATAATGGGCGGTGGAGCCGAACATAAATATAAGGCCAAAAAACCTAAATACTTCATAGGCGTGAGACAATACCTCTTAACACTCCCTAGTACATGTAACTAAGTTTAACAAGGGTCTACACGAAAGATTGAAAAAGAATTTTAAACAGAAGGAAAAAAGTGTTGTGCATCCAACCTAAAACCAATCGATACTGGGCGGTGGAGCCGAACTTGAATATAAGACCAAAAAAACCTAAATACTTCATAGGTGTGAGACAATACCCCTTAATCCCTAATACATGTAACTAAGTTCAACAAGGGCCTACATGTAATTGGCCTTATATGAGACTAGGTAAGAATAACATAACACGCCTAAGTTCTAATACCATGTTAAGCATCCAACCTAAAACCAAATGATGATAAGTGAACATACCAACATGAATATAAAACCAAAGAAACCGAAAACTTAATGGAAGTGGGATAACACCACTTTTTTTTTTTATAGAAGTGGGATAACACCACTTAAACAAATAAAGAAAGTAAATAAATAAATATCAAAAAGTAGAAAAGGTCTGCACACAAATTTTAGCACATTATTTTTACCTTATTATCTTAGATTTAAAATATTGAAGCTTTTTCTCTATCTCCCTCCAATTCCTTAATTTGATCATCAAAAGAACCAAAAAGACGGCCAATTCTGAGGTTTTTCTTTACAAGGAGAACTGTCTGAACTGAACCCCGTGAAAACCTGAGAAATCAATAGAACACCCAAGCAAATGAAAATCCATGTTTAGCATGTGGGGAAGAGAACAAGCAAAGAAAGCATCCAAATTACAATATCTTGTAACCATTCCAATGCCAGCTCACTTTCAATAATCAAACCAGCACTTGATCATTCCTATAACCATTTGTTATAAACATGTTTTAGCATAACTATATCTGGATAGAATTGATAGGCACATGAGATGGCAGTTCAATCATATCCAACAACATGGAATTTTAAGTAATCAAATGATCGTAAATTCTTCAATTCAAGTTTTACAATTACATTCAGATTGAATTCAAGATGAGAACAATCTTATATTTGAGAAGTGAACAAAATTCTTCAGGTAGAATTTGACAAGCACAAACTTATAAATCCATCTAAACGATGTAATTAGATTCACAAACCAAATTCAATTCTCACCCCCTTAAAGATTGGTCCCTACAAAGACAATAATGAACATACCAAATAACTTTTTTAAAAAAGGATGAGACATGAAACAACATATAAAATTAGTTCTCGACTTACATTTTAAATCCATCTAAGGTGAAAACCTCCAACACGTTCTGTATTCTTCGATCAAATGCAACAGCCCTTCCCCTGTTGTAATCTTCAACAAAACTTGCCTCTCAGCTCTGACCTGAGAATACATAAACATACCAAGTAACTTTTTTAAAAAGGATGAACATGAAACAACAAATGAAATTAGTTCTCCACTTGCATTTTAAATCCATCTAAGGTGAAAACCTCCAACACATTCTGTATTCTTCGATCAAATGCAACAGCCCTTCCCCTGTCGTAATCTTCGACAAGAACTTGCCTCTCAGCTCTGACCTGAGAATACAAAAAATGTTAGTGCTACACATAAGCCTGAAGCAATAGCTTCTTAAGAGCAAGCATGAAAAATATTCATGGACAAGCTCATTGCCTCCTGCTAAACTAACCAACCAGTAACCGCTGCATTGGATTATGTTAAAAGAAATTTGAAAAGAAATAGGCAGAGAGGGTAGTTAAAAAATAAATTTCCTAATAGCAGGATTTAGATTAGAAATTCATGATGAAAACATGAAATTACCACATCTGCCAAAACACTGAAAACAATAGGATTATCATTGTAAAAGAGATTGAGCAGTTGTGTGATTCATCTGGGAGGGTGAATGATCAGGTACAATCAACCTACAGAGAAAGCAGAACCAAATATCAAGGAAACTGTACTGAAACATCAGTACTATGAAAAGAGGTTGTTTAAGAAGATTAGAACTCTCATCCTTTCACCTTGGTTCGAAAATATTTCTTCCAGCAAGCAAGGCAGCTTCATTTACCAGATTTGCAAGGTCAGTCCTGCAAAATATAAAAGATGACCTAGCTATTTCTCCAGTATAAACAACAAAGGAGGAGGACGGAGGAGTGTCAATTAAACATGAGAAATTTAAAAGAGATACCCAGTAAAACCAGTAGTCATAGAGGCAACGTCACCAATATCAGCATCCTCTCCAAGGGGAATTTCCTTCTTAGAAACATGTACTTTCAAAATAGCTTCTCTTCCAATCCTGTCAGGTGTCTCTACCTGGAAATCACAGGAGACAAAGGAACTGGTTTATATAATTAACAGATTCTGACATCTAGACAGTTAACTGAAGTACCATGCACCATACAAACCATAACAACTCGATCAAATCTCCCAGGTCGCCGAAGGGCAGGGTCTAAGACATCAGAACGATTAGTAGCTCCAAGAACAATCACAGCAGAGTTGCTGTCAAATCCAACCATCTCCTACAATGTAGTTCCAAACTACTAGCTTCAGAGGTCTATGGCAATGAGACCAAGGGGTCTATGCAGTAGAAAAACTAGATGCAGGGAACTTACAGTGAGCAATTGGTTCAAGGTTTGCTCTCGTTCATCATTACTAACGATGCAGAATTTTACATCACGACTTTTAGCCACAGCATCTATCTGTACATGATGAAAGGTGTCAAAAAATTCTACTGGAAATCTATAAGTTGGAAAGATTGTTCCAACAAAATGATAAAACCCATTGACCGACCTCATCAAGAAAAATTATAGATGGTGCTTCCTTCTTTGCTCGTACAAAGAGATCTCTAACTCAAGATGCACCCATGCCAACATACAACTCCACAAACTCACTGGCCGAACAACTTATGAATGGAACTTCTACTTCACCGGCCACTGCTTTTGCTAGAAGAGTCTTACCTGTCCCAGAAAGACCCACCTATAACACAAATAAAATCATTAAAAACAACATTATTTCCATTTTATATAAGAAGGTTCCATATATGAACTTTTTGAGCTTATAGGACCAAAAACTTTCAGCGGAGAAAATAAACTAAAGAATAAGAGAAAGATCCAGCAAATGGAACAATGGATAAAAGGGAACACAGTTTCCGAAGATTAATAAAGTTGAAAATAAGCCATTGCTTCTATAGGATAAAAGCTTCATCATCATCAGGAAGTAAAGTTTTCTTAATATCAACTCACCAGGAGAACTCCTCGAGGAGGACGAGCACCAAGCCGTATATATCTGTCCGGATTCCTAAGAAATTTCTGGGCAGCAAACATAAACATATAAAGACAACAGCTTAAATTCATAAGAGCATTTACTACAAATATCAGTTGCTGGTAGCATATGAAGTACAGAAATAGTTAGTGTACCACAATTTCTTTTAGTTCTTGCTTGTCCTCATCAACACCAGCAACATCAGAAAAAGTGACTACTTCACTTTGTTCAGGCACTTTTAAAATCCCAGGACCTCCAGTCTTGCGATTCCTAATCTGACCAGCTGTATGCTGCATAATGCAATATTCAAATCAGAACCTATCAATGCAATATAACAATCGGAAAGTAATTATATCTTGCCTCCTTTACGCATTTTCTAAGAGCATTAATATCCTGAGAATTTGTCACAATGAATGCGTTTAGCAACTTTCCAATAGCTTGTTCAGCAGCAGGACCCCATGTATCACCATTGACTAATGTCTGCAGCACAATAACCATAAAACTAGCAACAGTTGCCAGAAAGTCGTCAAGAATTACTTAATATGGAAACAGTGATACCTATGGCTGTACTTATAGAAAAAACTAAAAATGGGAAAATGGATTAGTGATGTGAAGGTCTTCAAGACGAAATTATTTCTATAAGCTAAGCGAAATAAATCTTGAAATTACAAGAACTTAATCTGCAAAGAAAAACATCAAAAAGTCAATTTACATATGTCAAAACTACTCACCACACAATGGCACATGGGAAAAAAAAATTATTCAGAAAAAATCAGACAGACCATTGGACATTAAAGCAAATTTGGAAGAAAATGATTCAAACCTTGACAATCTTTCAAAACAGTGGAGCTCGTAGAGTCAGTAATCCTGCGTTCTATAATAATGGTATCACCGAAAATATCTGGCTTAAAAGAATCAATTCCTCTATTTTTAATATTTACATGAACAATAGCATCACTGAGAATTAAGATAGTTATCAGATATATCAAATAGATTACCCGTGACTAAACCAAACAATTAAAAGCAAAAGAAGAAGAAGAATAAACCTGTACCCAATTTTTATAACATCCTTCAACTTCGAAGCCCTTTTAGTTTCTCCGCCGAATGCTATACATAAAGCAGTTAGTATCGCGCTCTTCCCTCCTAAGGACACAAAAAACCAAACAAACAAACATGTCGCTCGTGTCATATGCGAAGAAAATTATTAACATGAATCAAATGCACAATATATGTATATATAGAGAGAGAGATGAGATATGTACTTCCGTTTTGACCGGTAATGAAATTAACGTTCTCCAACCTTGCCCTTCTAACAGTACCCGCCCCGGATCTTTGAGCGCCACCGGAGAAAACCCTAGAACTACTCATGGTTGTATACTAGGGTTTAGCGATCACCAGTCACAATTCGCAAGAAAAAAATTGAAGCTCCGAAAAGAGATCGTACAAAGAGACTTGAACTCGACTCTTCAGAAGGGATGGATTCGGGAGTAATCAAGGCGGGAAAGAAATAGTAATATAATGCAATACTCGTGTCTATCTGAAAATGAATTAACCCAGGCCCAACGGGTCTATTTATTAATTCATCAAGATCAATTATAACCGTTGGGTACTTTAGAGTTTAAGTCGGTTTAGTTGAAGTTGGGCTGCAATTGAGCCCTAACCTTATTTGAACAAAAACGACCTCAACAATGAGCCCTAGCCTTATCAATATAATATTAATATTGCAGAATAAAAATACATTATTTTTTTTGTTTTTGTTTTAATGACACCGATCATCCTCAAACATCCTAAACAGACTCCTAATATACTCCTACAGAGAAAGCAGAACCAAATATCAAGGAAACTCTACTGAAACATCAGTACTATGAAAAGAGGCTGTTTAAGAAAATTATAATTCTCATCCTTTCACCTTGGTTCGAAAATATTTCTTCCAGCAAGCAAGGCGGCTTCATTTACCAGATTTGCAAGGTCAGCCCTGCAAAATATAAAGTTGACCTAGCTATTTCTCCAGTATAAACAACAAAGGAGGAGGACGGAGGAGTGTCAATTAAACATGAGAAATTTAAAGAGATACCCAGTAAAACCAGTAGTCATAGAGGCAACGTCACCAATATCAGCATCCTCTCCAAGGGGAATTTCCTTCTTAGAAACATGTACGTTCAAAATAGCTTCTCTTCCAATCCTGTCAGGTGTCTCTACCTGGAAATCACAGGAGACAAAGGAACTGGTTTATATAATTAACAGATTCTGACATCTAGACAGTTAACTGAAGTACCATGCACCATACAAACCATAACAACTCGATCAAATCTTCCAGGTCGCCGAAGGGCAGGGTCTAAGACATCAGAACGATTAGTAGCTCCAAGAACAATCACAACAGAGTTGCTGTCAAATCCATCCATCTCCTACAATGTAGTTCCACACTACTAGCTTCAGAGGTCTATGGCAATGAGACCAAAGGGTCTATGCAGTAGAAAAACTAGATGCAGGGAACTTACAGTGAGAAATTGGTTCAAGGTTTGCTCTCGTTCATCATTACTATCGATGCGAAATTTGCCATCACGACTTTTAGCCACAGCATCTATCTGTACATGATGAAAGGTGTCAGAAAATTCTACTGGAAATCTATAAGTTGGAAAGATTGTTCCAACAAAATGATAAAACCCATTGACTGACCTCATCAATAAAAATTATAGATGGTGCTTCCTTCTTTGCTCGTGCAAAGATATCTCTAACTCGAGATGCACCCATGCCAACATACAACTCCACAAACTCACTGGCCGAACAACATATGAATGGAACTTCTGCTTCACCGGCCACTGCTTTTGCTAGAAGAGTCTTACCCGTCCAAAGAAGACCCACCTATAACACAAATAAAACCATTAAAAACAACATTATTTCCATTTTATATAAGACGGTTCCAAAGAAACCACCACATACTCCTCATGTATAAGCACTGTGTGGAGACATTGAACATGATGAATTCCATATATGAACTTTTGGAGCATATCATAACAAGAGATAAAAGTAGAAGGCATTATAGGACCAAAAACTTTCAGCGGAGAAAATAAACTAAAGAATAAGAGAGAGATCCAGCAAATGGAACACAGGATAAAAGGGAACACGGTTTCCAAAGATTAATAAAGTTGAAAATAAGCCATTGCTTCTATAGGATAAAAGCTTCATCATCATCAATAAGTAAAGTTTTCTTAATATCAACTCACCAGGAGAAGAACTCGAGGAGGACGAGCACCAAGCCGTATATATCTGTCCGGATTCCTAAGAAATTCCTGGGCAGCAAACATAAACATATAAAGACAACAGCTTGAATTCATAAGAGCATTTACTACAATTATCAGTTGCTGGTAGCATATGAAATACAGAAATAGTTAGTGTACCACAATTTCTTCTAGCTCTTCCTTGTCCTCATCAACACCAGCAACATCAGAAAAAGTGACTACTTCACCTTGTTCAGGCACTTTTGAAATCCCAGGACCTCCAGTCTTGCGATTCCAAATCTGACCAGCTGTATGCTGCATAATGCAATATTCAAATCAGAACCTATCAATGCAATATAACAATCGGAAAGTAATTATATCTTGCCTCCTTTACGCATTTTCTAAGAGCAGTAATATCCTGAGAATTTGTCACAATGAATGCATTAGCAACTTTCCAATAGCTTGTTCGGCAGCAGGACCCCATGTATCACCATTGACTAATGTCTGCAGCACAATAACCACAAAACTAGCAACAGTTGCCAGAAAGTCGTCAAGAATTACTTAATATGGAAACAGTGATACCTATGGCTGTACTTATAGAAAAAACTAAAAATGGGAAAATGGATCAGTGATGTGAAGGTCTTCAAGTCGAAATTATTTCTACAAGTTAAGAGAAATAAATCTTGAAATTACAAGAACTTAATCTGCAAAGAAAAACATCAAAAAGTCAATTTACATATGTCAAAACTACTCGCCACACAATTGCACATGCAAAAAAATTGTTTTTTTTTATTCAGAAAAACACGTCATTCAGAAGTAATCAGACAGACCATTGGACATTAAAGCAAATTCGGAAGAAAATGGTTCAAACCTTGATTATCTTTTAAAACAGTGGAGCTCGTAGAGTCAGTAATCCTGCGCTCTATAATAATGGTATCACCGAAAATATCTGGCTTAAAAGAATCAATTCCTCCATTTTTAATATTTACTTGAACAATAGCATAACTGAGAATTAAGATAGATATCAGATATATCAAACAGATTACCCGTGACTAAACCAAACAATTAAAAGCAAAAGAAGAAGAAGAATAAACCTGTACCCAGTTTTTATAAATTCCTTCAACTTCGAAGCCCTTTTAGTTTCTCCGTCGAATGCTATACATAAAGCAGTTAGTATCGCGCTCTTCCCTCCTAAGGACACAAAAAGCCAAACAAACAAACTTGTCGCTCGTATCATATTCGAAGAAAATTATTAACATGAATCAAATGCACAATATATGTATAGAGAGAGAGAGAGAGATGAGATATGTACTTCCGTTTTGACCGGTAATGAAATTAACCCACTCGCCGAGTTCGATTTCAAGAATACTATGGCACATAAAGTTCTCCAACCTTGCCCTTCTAACAGTACCCGCCCCGGATCTTTGAGCGCCACCGGAGAAAAACCTAGAACTACTCATGGTTGTATACTAGGGTTTAGCGATCACCAATCACAACTCGCAAGAAAAAATTGAAGCTCCGAAAAGAGATCGTACAAAGAGACTTGAACTCGACTCTTCAGAAGGGATGGATTCGGGAGTGATCAAGGCGGGAAAGAAATAGTAAAATAATGCAATACTCGTGTCTATCTGACAATGAATTAACCCAGACCCAACGGGTCTATTTATTAATTCATCAAGATCAATTATAACCGTTGGGTACTTTAGAGTTTAAGTCGGTTTAGTTGAAGTTGGGCTGCAATTGAGCCCAACCTTATTTGAACAAAAACGACCTCAACAATGAGCCCTAGCCTTATCAATATAATATTGATATTGCAGAATAAAAATACATTTTTTTTGTTTTTGTTTTAATGACACCAATCATCCTCAAACATCCTAAACATACTCCTAACATATTATCAGCACATCAATTACATAAATAAACTTGTATGTTGAATTTGACTTCAAAAAGCAAAAAAACACAATAAATGAAAATATATATCCAGTGATTCGTTTTAGGTTATTGATAATACATAACATGTTGAATTTGAAACCATGAATTGAAGCTCGTAAAAGCTAAAAAAATCTTAAACTTAACTCGGTTCAAACTCAAACTCGAACATAAACCTTAAGTACATGAAAACATTATATTGTATTTTTTAAAAAGATCAACACATAATTGTTAATATTATTAATAATTTATTTTTAACAAAATAAAATTATAATAATTGTTTCGAGTTGTTCGCTATCTTTTTTAATTGAATATCAAGTAACTCATTTCGTTTCGTTAAGAACTTGAGTCGAGTATTTATCAAACTTTGACCGAGTCGATCTCGAATAGCTCATAATATGTCTCATCTCATTTGCATCCCTAGTTGTACCAAGTACTCAACACGTCCCTAACATAGGTATAGAATGGGTACAATTTGAGTATGTATCGGGGACGTCCGCATTTAAGGGGTATGGTTGAAATTAATTGGGCAAGTCAGAGAGATTTTCGATGATATATCTGGGACATATTTGATCTTTACGCACGTATCTAGAACTATTTGTAAGATTTAAATAATAAAAAGATATAGATTAATTATAATATAATTTTCTTTTTTAATTGGGGTTGAATTTCTCTAACGAAAATGTATTTTTCGGATCTAAAAAGTTAATAGACTAACTTTGGTGTAGAAACTATATTGCTCCAATCTTTGACTTTCAAAGTATTTGGACGACTTACTTCATCATTTTCTTGTGAAAGAAATTTGAATACTTATTCTTTCGTCTATTTCCTTAGGGGAATAAACTAAATTCAAATCGTGTCGAAGATTTGATTTACATTCGCTACAATTTCCATCTTTTATCAAATAATTCTTGTCACTATAAACTTTAATAAATATTTTGTGATCTTTATGCCTTATAAAATTTTAAAATTTATTTTATATTTATCGTACTTGTATCCTATAATTTTAAAAATTATTGTTTTTCATCTATTTTCTATCCCCGTACCGTATCAATGCAACATAAACAGACAATATCATTTCATACATTTTAGGTTACTACACTATTCCAACAAGTCACGTTAACTTTAACCTATTAAACATGTTCATAACATCCATAGCTCACAATCACATCATTTCGCGTACTAGACCATGCGTGTAAACCAGCTATAAATGCATCGTATTAATTAAGGTTGTAAATAAGACAAGACAGATCATGAGTTATTTAATATCAACTTAGTTAGAGTTTGATTAACTCTCAAATTAATAGATTCGACTCAAGCTTGAACAGGATTTGAATTCTCAACGAACTGAAGCGAGCTACTTAATACTCGGTTCGAAAAATTTGAGAGTAACTCAAAAAAATAATATATTAAAACTTTACATTTTTTAAAAATTAAATTATTATTAATATTAACATTTATATATTATTAAAAAAAGACAATGTAAGATTTTCATGTACTTAATATTTATGTTTGAGCTCAAGTTTAAGCTTCAATCGAGCTAAGTCTGAGAATAGTTCGAGTTTTCTCGAGCTCTATTTTTTTATTTCGAGTCTAGCTTTAAAATTTTAAACTCACAAACTTTTGAGTCGAGCTTCAATTTTTATTTCAAGTTCGGGTTAAGCCTGACAATTTTAAGCTCATCAATTTTCAAATTAAGTCGAATTCAATCTTAAACGTTTTTAAATTAAATCGAACTTAACACTACTCAAATTTGACTCAACTCGTTTAAGGCCTAATACTAACATCACACAACAAATCATCATGCATATGCATCAAATTCTCATCAAATCAACATCTAACCGTCCATAAAAAGGTTTAAATCCCAAAATCAATGTCTAAGAGTCTACAAATTCCATCAACTTTTAGGACATAGGGACTAATCACATTTCTTTAAACCAAGTGTATCTTAGGATCGCCACTTGTAAACTTTTTCATGTCTCGAATTCAACAATCAATATGCATAAACATCACCGAAAACGAAGTGAGATTAACTAAGCTCAATGAATGCTCAAGATAACACTACTCAGCCATTCAATGCTAAACGGAAATTCACCGACGCAAAATTTTTTTTAATAGATCTAAAAAAAATTAACCTATTAATAATGTACTTACATTATGTAGACGCAGTTGCTAAAATTCATGACCTCTAAGAATGACAACATTCTCTTTTACTACTGAGATCACTTTATTGGTTTAAATTCACATGCGTTTTTTACAAATTGAATGTTTAGTTCATTTTAAACATGTTACTTTAGTACATAAACTATTACTTTTCTCCCATTTTAGTACTTCAACTTTATTTTTTTTTTAAAAACATAAATCTAAAATAAATAACATGTAAAAGTTGACCAAAATAAAATAAAATGAAATTTTCATGTTGAATTTGAAATAAATAAATAAAGAGCATGTGACCAAGTTGCAAAATCAAGACAAACTTAGGGAAACTATATTGAGATTAACCCTAAACTTTACATATAACATAATTTATTATTCTAAAAAAATTAAACTAAAACTAAAAGAAAGAAGAAGAAAAAACTATTTCCTCTTCCTTTGACCATGCGACCGACCATCCCTATGGAGACCAAACGCTTCCAATGCCGGCCACCACGCGCTGATCGATGATCGAGGGAAGCCCGGGTAAGCCCGAACGAAACCCAAACACACTAAAGACCCTCATTTCCTCTCTTTTCTAAATATTGTTTTTTAGTTTCAAATCAAAATGTTTGCATGAAAATCAAAGAAAAAAAATAAACCTCTTTGGAAAAATATTGTGTTGTATTGCTTCGGTTCCAATAAAATGAAAAAGATGACTCTGCTACAATCTTTTTCCCCCTAGAGAAACTGGAAAGGAGCCCCCCCAACATTCTGATTTTTTTTGGTTTTTATATTCCTTGTATTACATGCAAAAAAAGAAAAAAATTATATATTGATTTGTTGATTTTGTGCTGACTTTGCTATTTTGGTTGGTTGACGAGGAGAGGGAAACCATCTCCTGTGACAGTTAGTGGTTAGGGTATGGGCTACTTGTAACACCCATAAGCTGTATACACGAACCAATACGAGTTACAGATGTCACATCAAATATTCAAAACATTTATTTAATTAAACTGAGTGAAATTTTGTTTCATTCAAACATATCAAGTTTCATAACTTGGACAATTATTCAGAGAAAAATCATAATGTAATATCGTTGGTTACCAATTCAAAATCAGTTTCAAGCAGTGATGACAGTTATGTTATATTTTCATAAAATAAATAAGAATGTCTAACATGTTGGATTTAAAACCCAAATTAATTTTTTCTATGCATAGTTTAATATCCTAATAATTATTGATATTATTAATCATATTTAACACTAACTATGTTAAGAAATTGCAGACATTTCATTCTCTTATACATGCCAGCTAAGACTTTTAGAACACAATAGGATGTCATCATTGTTACATGTAAATATTTCCTTGGTGACTGGTGACAAGCTCAGCTCCTTACTCCTTTTTCTCCTTTTTGTCCTATGCATGAAAATCATCACACGCTAAGTATACACTTAGTGAGTCAATCGTATGAATATTTAAAGCAATGCAATAGATAAATTTAAATGAATAACCATATTCAATGCAATATGATCACTTACCATATATTAACATGATATAATCGAATTTCAAGTTTATTACCAATATAATTGCCATTCATTCCACAAGCTCGTAAGTTTATTTGTTTGTTTACCATTTATTAATCAATAAACCATAGCCCAATTTAAACCCTGAGGACCCTGGGTATTCGAGTCAAATAACTTGATCCGTAGTGCTAAACTTGCACTAAGCTTATGCTCTAGTGTTAATCAAGATATGCCACATAAGGTTGTGCCCACCATCTACACTAGGCTTACACTCTAGTGCTAAACCGAATATGACACATAAGGTCATTCCCTTCACTTACACTTAGTGTCCTTACACACTAGTGTTAATATAAACCTGCAGCTGCTATACTCTATGGCATGCCAACTATACCATGTCCCTCGATGACATACTTGGTCATACAATTTATTTTATTTGATCTATCCATGGCAAAGTATATTATTATAATTTAATATTGGGTAGTTCATACCCGAAATAACATTCACAATAATCATCATACATAATAACCAGTGATCAATACGTTTTATATTCAACCTTTTACATATTTATAATATGTCAAATATATGATAAATGACAAAAATATTATGTCAATATAAAAAAGGTAGACTTGTCGTAAGCCCTACCTAAGGATGTAAAAAACATCCATGAATAATGTTATGCATGCATTGAACTCATTTTAAAATTACATACAAGTCAAAACGTAAGCCTCACTAAGCTTTAACTTGATCCTTTGCTTCTAATTTGGTTAAATCCCAAAGTTGGTCATAATTCATATCGTGGCAGTATGCACTACCTTTAAATAAATATTATTTAGTATTAATCTAAACATTTAAAAATTGTTCTGTTTATTTATGACATGGTATTATCTTAT